ACTCGACTTTCCTTAAATAATATTTAAGCGTATTTAACACCTAGTTTAAATAACTATACTGTGGTGTTTTGTGCATTTGTTTGCAACCTTGAATAGAAATACTGTTTATTCTTGAGAGAGTGCAGTGTAATGAAGGCTCGAGAAAGCTGTCACAATCGGAATTATTCGCAGCAGTTGTTTTCCTCCCTGATTCTGTGAAACCCGAAAAGCAAAGTCTCTTTCACTGTGATTGTCCCTCCCAGTCCTGAATGGGGAGCTCACGGGCGGTGCCTTCCGAAACGGGCGGCGAACGTGCCTGCCTGCTCCGTGCCCGGACACCAGTAACATTAACTTATGGAACATCTTGCGGAACAACATCGGCAAAGATCTGTCGAAAGTCTCCATGCCTGTAGAGCTCAACGAGCCGCTCAACACTCTGCAGCATCTGTGCGAGGAGATCGAGTACAGTGAGCTCCTGGACAAGGCTTCGGAGACTGATGATCCCTACGAGCGCATGGTAATAAACCGTGGGGCTGTGCCCTTAGGACCTGGGATAAGCCACGAGCCATTATTATGACACATTTGGTTTTTGCATAACATTCTCACTGTGTAGGTAAGACAGGAATTGCTCGGTTTGCAAAATCAAGCAGGGACAAAAAGTTCTAGATGCCCTTCCTGGAAGGCACACATTTTTTTGTGACTTCTCCGCAGTCTGGAGTATTTGTAAAGTTAGGCTGCAAAGTGTCGCGCTCCATCGATGTGGAAGCCATGCTGAGGTTTCCCTGGGTGTCAAGAGAGCCCATCTGTTCAGGAACTAGTTCTAAGAAAGTAACTTGCTCTCAGTACCTTGCCCTTTACTCCAAGTGCCTGAGAAACTGGCCCTGGCCTCTGAAAAGCACCCAGCTCCACCCCGCCTGCATGTTGTGCTAAGATGACGCACATAGCATAACCTGTAAGCCGGGTTCAGGCCCTTCGAACTTTGTGATGCTCACAAGGCAGGGTGGACATATGAACGGAGAGCACTTGCTCTCTGTGGCCTGCTGGTTCCCATGGGAGTGGTTTAACCTCATTTGAACTTATATTTTGCCCATGAACTGATGACGATTTGTGCAAATACTAGAAAATACAAGTGGCATCAAGTCAGTACCCATCAACATGGGGTATGTGAAAGCCAGAGAAATAGAGACAAACACGCTGAGCAGTGGTCTCTCCTATATTATGTTCCTTTCTCAAATGTTTTAACAGGTTCTCGTTGCTGCATTTGCGGTTTCAGGCTATTGCTCCACCTATTTCAGGGCAGGAAGTAAGCCATTCAATCCAGTCCTGGGGGAGACGTACGAATGCATTAGAGAAGACAAGGGATTCCGATTCGTCTCAGAACAAGTAAGCAAGCTTCCTCTGTAGGTTGGAGGGCAGTCTGGTGATGAAAACACCTCTTGACAACTGTCCCTTTGGGATGGGGACTGAACCAATTAGAAAACTCAGCTTTTCTGCACCATCAACACCACTGAGTGTTCTAAGTTCTCTTTGTTTAGGTGTAAAGTCTTAGAAGTTACAGATTTACTTATACATCTTGAAACTGATGTACTTATAGAAATGTTTTAATTGTAGTATTTCATTGATGGTGACCATTTTTCATCATAAATATATATATGGAAGTTTGACACTGTTATCATTGCTTGCTTTTTCTTACCAGGTTAGCCATCACCCACCCATTTCTGCTTGTCACTGCGAATCGAAGAATTTTGTGTTTTGGCAAGGTCTGTATCTCAGTGATAATTTAAAGTCAAATGCATGAGCCTATGGAAAACTTTCTAGCTTCTGAATGCATTGTACTCAGCTTAGATTTCTACCTTTGAAATCAGAGGATGTTGGTAATTGGCCTGCAGCTCAGTGTGAGAAATTACATTTCCTCAATGAAATGTGAAACGGTGTCCTCTAAGAGGTGGCATTGTTTTGGAAGGAACTCCTGGGGAAGAGTGGAGCCCCTTGCAGGTGTGCCACTTGGAGCCATCATTTTATCCCATCGTGCCTTGATGTCTGGTCTGTAATGCAAAGGTGATACCTGCAGCATTCTTAGTCCTTGCGGTGTGCAAAGAGGTTTTGATCTCGGTGTTATGGCACCTCATCAAGTCATTCTGCAGTTTCTGGGGTTTCTGCATCTACAAATTCAACCGACCCCAGATAGAAAATAGTTATATCTGTCCTGAACCATGTGCAGACTTTTTTCTTGTCATTATTCTCTGTGCAATAGAATATAAAAATTATTTACATAGCATTTACATTGTATTAAGTATTGTAAATAGCCTAGAGATGGTTTAAAGTATATTGGGAGATATGTGCCATTACCATTAACAGAAGGGACTCAGGTGTCTGTGGATTTTGGTATCTGGGGGTATTCTGGAGCCAGTCTCCATAGATACCAAGGGACACTTGTGTAACATTGAGTAATTTGTGGACAGTAGCTCGCTGGAGCTCAGGAGTTTGAAGTCCACTCTTACTAATAACCAGTCCTATCAGAATATTATAGATCTGCCTTAAATACAGTTTCCAAACCCTTTCAGAAAGAAAAGGATATGTATGTAGATGTGACCACTTGGTATAAATAGTTTCTTCACATTTCAGGCGGTGCTGCATTGCTCACAGAATGACTCTTCTCGTAACCATTTCCTTAGCCTGAAAACACAAAATGACAGGGCACTCTAGCTGTTTTTCTGGCAAAATAATACAATAAATCATTTCTTGATCATAGCCAAGAGCCAGAAATTGTATGGCAATAACACTTAGCTCCCTCAGTTCATCAAAGTTGGACTACGTGGTCATTATAAACGCACAAGTATATCTAACTCTCCACAAGTAAATGGAGAGCCACCTGAGATAAAACACTGGGCTTTGGGCTCGGTCTTAACAACCACAATAGGAAAACCTTCATTGAATTGGCCTTGCTCTCATAAATCTTTCATATCTCCATTTAGAGAATTTAATTTTTTTTTTTTACCCTTTTCCCAAATCACATAACCCTTTCATGTACAGGGGAAAATGTGTACATAAATCAGTGATACTGCCATGCTGCAATTGTTTTTATATACATTTTAGGCTTGTTGGATATGTTAAATATTTTTACTATTTAGTTAAAACTTGACAACATTTATTACTATCTGGCTATCACTGTTAGAGTTTCTGTTTGTATGTGTGTGTGAGGACACACACGTCTTCTTCTGGGATTCTTGCAGTTTGTTAACTGATGACAAATATGGAGCATGACTATGGAGAAATATCAATAGTGGATTTTTTTAATAGCAGTTAATATTTTCATGTGGAACCCTCTTCAGAAACTTGTTGGGTTAAATGACAATATAAAAATCAATTGTAATTACAAAACTTTTGTAAAATGTAATACAAAAGTTAGTTTTTGCAGGACAAATGATTAGGTGTAGAATATATATTTTTGTCGTCTGCCCATGTCATTTAGATATCAGATGGAAAAACAAGTTCTGGGGGAAGTCGATGGAAATCCTGCCTGTTGGAACACTGAATGTCCTGCTTCCAAAGTAGGTTGCTCTCTTCTCTCTTCGTTTTGGCCTCTTCGCTGCTTTTGTAAACCAGAAGAGTACTTTAGCCTCTAGAAGGTTTCCAGGGTCCATTTCCCTCCATTCCCAACGTTCCTGTTAACCTTCACCACAGTTTTGAGTATGGACTTCCACAAAAACCAATGAGAAGCCTCAAAAGGTACCAGAGCTTCCTGTTTCCCTTTCTGTGTCCTCCATTTCAAATTCATGTACCTGTCATGTCCAGTCACCATGCTAGTTTGCATGTTATGTAAGATTTAAAAGTTACTTTGTCAAAGGAAAATAAAGGGATGCTTTTGTAGTTTTATAATTTTTTAGCCTATAAATCTTTTTAAATTAATTGAAATTTTTATCAAGTCCAGAGGCTTGATTAAGCTGGTTTTGTTTTTGTCTTTTCAAAACAGTTATTTGCATGAGTTGTGAAAGAAGGTGAGGAGAGAGAAGTAAATTATCAACATCTGAAAATGTTTGAGGAAGAAAAACGTTTTCATTGGTGTCTGTATCGCCTACATTATACCAATTAGATCTTCAAAGCATTTGATTTTATCTTGAAGTAACATTTTATTTGAAAATATGCATAATCTACAAATTTAAATGGGATTAAAGCAGTTTCATTCCTTAGCAAGTATTCTGTAACCTTATTCCCAGGGTTTGCTTTAGATTTGTGTCATTTTAGCAATCCTTAAGTGAATAGTAATTTCATAAGTGTTTATGACCACACAGAAACTTCCAGGACACGAGAAGCTGAGGGAAAAGGCAGCTTTGCCAAAAGGTTTTCTAAATAGGAGAAACAATAATATATTTGTGGCCTTTGCTGTTGTTAATCAGTGTCACATTCTTCACTAGGTACGGAGATTGCTATGTGTGGAATAAGGTCACCACGTGCATACACAACATCCTTAGCGGGAGAAGATGGATAGAGCATTATGGAGAAATAACCATCAGAAATACCAAAAGCAGTGTTTGCATTTGCAAACTCACATTTGTCAAGGTAAATAATATAATAGGACAGCAAAGGAAAAAGAGTACAAAATGCTCCCTGAATCAGGGCATGGTGGCAAACACCTGGGCAGCTTAGCAACTTAGCAAGACCCTGAAAACTGGAAAAAAAAAAGGCTAGTATGAAGATCTCCAACTCCATATGAAAGGTTCAGTCCCCAGTAACACGGATGCACGCGCACGCGCACGCACACACACACGCACACACACACACACAGGATAGTAATAATACAATAAAAGCTTCTTAAGGAAGAAACAGAACAATGACATTAACTAGCAGCAAGCTGGTGGGAGTGGTGGCGCACACCTATAATCCCAGCACTGGAGAGGCTGAGGCAGGAGGATCACTGTGAGATTGAGGCCAGCCTAGGCTACATAGCGAGTTCAAGGCCTACAAAGTGAGACCCTGGCCCAACCAGACAGAAGAATGAGTGAATGAATGAATGAATAGCCGGCAGGAAGTGAATTTGTCCTATGTTGTTGGTCATAGGATGTTTTACATAGAAAAGCAGGACCAACTTACAGAATTCTGAAGACCTGAGGCTTCTGGACATGTGGAGGGTCAAAAAAGGCACCATTTCAAAACAGGAAAAAAAATCAACTTTTTTTTTTTAATCATCTTTTTTAGGTGGCCAGTCAGGAGTTTATTAAGTAAAATTCCAGAAAACAGATCTTGCCTCTACTAAGTTTTCTGGTTTCTATTTCTATTCCTGCTTGATTACAACATATTCACGTGATCCTATTTTAGGGAGCTAATTATAATGCAGTTACCATTTTCTGAAAACACTTGCATAGAACAGCCGCATAGATGGCAGCTACCACTCACTACAAACTTATCCAACCCCATCACTATTATAACAAATCACTGCAGTCTAAAGTAAAATCTACCCTATCACCTTCGTGTTTGCCTATATTACAGAATTTTTCAGCTATTTCTATAGCATAGTCAATTAAATTTCATTAAAATCCATGAGCAAAGGGAGAATTCAGGACAAGAGGATTATTACCAACATAGGAATTAATGTTAGGTTCCTAGGATAGCATCTGAGCTTTCTCTGTGCCATTCCACCAAGCTACAGCGTGGAGGAGAAAATTTTCCGTTTCGTGACAGTTTAGCTAAGTACTACTAGAGAGCCAACCTTGCATAGAAAACATTTTGAGATAAATTTCTGGAAATGGTTTGAAGGGCAGACCTCAAGGTAAAGAAAATTTCCATATGGCAATTATGGGGTCATTGGTGTCACTGCATTGATCGGGTTTGGTTTTCTAGGTGAATTATTGGAATTCAAATGTGAATGAAATACAGGGGGTCGTGATAGATCAGGAAGGGAAGGTCGTGCACCGGCTGTTCGGGAAGTGGCATGAAGGACTCTACTGTGGTGTGGCCCCCTCGGCCAAGTGCATCTGGAGACCAGGTGAGACTGGGGGGCGCACTGGAGCCACGGAAGGAGCGGGAAGGGGAGCTCAGCCATGCAGTTCGCCTTGTGTTTGCTTCATGGATTTAAAATGTAGATGCCTACAGCAAGGAGTTACATTTCTATTTCACATGTAAGACCCATGCAAAAGCCAATATTTGATGCTTGAGAATAAAAAAACTTAGGTCAAATTTCTGACATCAGTAACATGAGATATTAAAATCTAACATAAAGTCACTCCAGATGTAATAATGCCTTTCAAAACATTTCAAAAGCGAGGTATATTTAGTAGAAATATGTCAATATATTCTGACTCATGTTATAAAATAAAGGAAAACTTGCAAGCATCTACACTCTGCAAATACAGTAATTCACCAGAATAGGTCATTTTTTCACTTGAGCAGTAAATACTGTAATATATTGACATCTAATAAAACACATCAACTGAGTTTGGATAATACATTGGACTATAATTGAATATCTGGTGTAAATGGAACAAGTCTCCACATGACATTGGTTTTCACTGGAATTTGTCCATTAATCTCTAGATGTAATATCAGTTACTGCTGGGCATGGTGGCCCACGCCTATAATCCTAGCACTCGAGAGGCTGAGGCAGGAGGATCACTGTGAGTTCGAGACCAGCCTGGGCTACATAGTGAGTTCCAGGTCAGTCCCAACTACACAGTGAGAGCCTGTCTCAAAAAAAATAAATAAATAGATAAAATCAGTTACTGGTTTCCTAAGAGAACTTGATGAGTCTTTGAGCGCCCTGCTAGTAGAGTGGTTCAATTATTAGTAACTGCCTATTGAGTACTTACTATGCCCCAGGCTTTGTGTTAGTTACTTGGGTTACATCAGTGAGCAAAGCACACGAAAGACCTTGCCTTTGAATTTAGTAAGAAGTGCCCATAAAATACTACTTTAGCTCTGTCTGCAGAGTCTCCTTTTTCTAAATGGGAAATAAATCACAAGTGTTTCTGGTGAAATTTTAATGTTCATAGTTAATCACCCTGGCCTATAGTTTACCAGTTGAATATGTGAGAGGAAAATGTGGAATTTAGTCAGTGAGGACTGCTACTATATGTGAAGTTTTATTTTAGAATCTTTTGGGGTTTTTTGTTTGTTTGTTTTGTTTTGTTTTGGTACCAGGGATTGAACTCGGGACGTTGTACTTGCAAGGTAGGCAGCAGCACCACTGAGCTAAATCCCCAGCTGAAGTTTTATTTTAAAGATTGGATTTTATAAATATATGAACCTCTCTAATCATCAACATAACTTCCCTACCTAGCAAAACACAACCAATTTAACGCACAATCTAGTGTCCATGACTACAAATTTGGTGTTGGAATGGGATTAAACTGCACTGGAGTAGGCTGCCTTCTTTTTCTCTGTAAGCCACTGTCTTCTCACCGTGGTTTGTTGGCCTCATTCCAGGTTCCATGCCAACCAACTATGAGCTCTACTACGGCTTCACACGGTTTGCTATTGAACTCAATGAATTAGATCCTGTACTAAAAGATCTCCTCCCACCAACAGATGCCCGATTCCGGCCAGATCAAAGGTAAGAGTCGGAGCAGTATTTCAGATGTAGCCCAGATTAGGATGTGGACTTCAGAGGTCATGGAGACTTATTTTTATCATTTGTTTATTCAATCACTCATTCATTGTCTTTTTTATTGAGTTTATTGGTGCTTTTTAGGTATCCAGTGCAGTTACATTCATCATTGGGATCTGGTACCTTTACATGACGGGTCTTGGTTCTCATTTTTTCCCCATTCCCCTCCCCTCCCTTCACCCCCTCCACCCTTCCCTATTTACAAAGACTTTCTTTCCATTTTATCCTTTTCTCATATTTTTTCTTTCCCCTTATTTACTTCCTCTACCCTTCCCACTTCCTGTTCGTTGTCTTATTCACTCAACAATATTTGAGTTTTCTACCCTAGGTGAAGTAGTATTATAGGATAATTGTAGCAAGTTTATCTTGACATAAAAGTTGTAATGGACACTAACATGATTGTGTTTTAACAAAAACATTTTCCCTCCTTAACCCCTGACATCATCAGAGGATTGCAAATTCCTAAACTCTCTGCTAAATACAGGTCACTCCTGTGCAGTTTTTTACCTCTTTACATCTACGGACATATATGGATGTTTATACTGAAGAATAAGGATAACTAACAGGAGAACCAACACATGTTTTGACTGAAGTATAAAGCTGGTCCAATATGCTTTAGGCCCCAAAGAGTGTGAGATCTCAAAATGCAGTAACTCTAATCCCTTCAGAATTTTTATTTGTATTATTATTATATAATACTTATATTGTCTACTCCTACAGAGTTCATTACACCTTTCCCAAAAATTACATATGCCATACAAATTCCACCCATGATCAGTTTTCTGTTTCCAGTGTGTTTGTTTTCTTCCAAAATGTTCTGCTGTGGTTTTCAATTGTCAGAAGTTACCTCACACACCCAAGAACATACAGTCTCACTGTGTGCCATTAAAATGTTATAAGTTAAGTCTGTACCGTGTGTATCATAGTATATCCCTGTTCTTTGCTGTCATTTGGAAATGTAGATATTTGTAAATTACCATTGGGTCTGCTTTTTCCATTTTAATTCTATTTCAGTGTTCCCTTTTTAAATTTTATTTCTATTCCATGGCCTTTGGTAATTTCCACCCTCCAACAGTTACTTTTCTTTCCATCAGTCTCATCCTCACCAACAAAACAGGAGAGCTCTTTGCCTCCTCAGTCTGTTCCCAGCATAGACGGAGGACAGCCGGTTACCGTCCTCCACTCCAGTCTTTACAGTGCCTTTTGGGACTGTGGGAAAGAGCCCACCTTTGACTTCCTGCTGTTCTCACCCTAGACTGGCTCTTGTCCTGACCATCTCAAGATGTAGAGCCTCCACACAGAAGAGTCCAAACCATTCACATCTCCCTCCTACCATTGTATTGCTAGATACAGTAATTCAGTTGCAAGCACAGAAGGTGTGCTAACTGATGGACAGACAGAGGTGTGGGCAGACAGAGTGAGGTGACATTACCAGAGTGTCAGTGTCCGTCCGTCATGTTCACAGCACCCAGAGTGTAATTTTATGCAAATGAGTTTTTCTAAGGAAAGAATAACCTATAGAAATATCGACTGCTTTCTGCTTAGATTTTTGGAAGAAGGAAATTTAGAAGCTGCAGCAGCAGAGAAGCAAAGAGTAGAGGAACTCCAGAGATCTCGAAGACGATACATGGAAGAAAACAACCTTGAACATATACCAAAATTTTTTAAGTAAGTCAGGTCATTATCATAATAAATTCATGTTTTACATGCTTTACATGTCACAAGTCATGAGAAGTGCCAGGCAAAAAGAAAATGGGGGACAGTGCAGCATCCAGAGAACTTAAAGGTAGAAAAACTAAGCTGTTCGGTTACTTCACTTTTGGCAGTGAAAAAATGGAATCAGATTTTGCACTTGTGAAAAGTTAGTATGCAAAAAAAAAAAGAAACTCTTCTCTACAGGCCTTTCCTTCTCATGGGCAGTAGAAGAGTAAGGATCTCATCCAGGAGGTTTTGTCCTTTACCTGCACCCTGTCGAATGCTGGAAACTTGTTCCCATTCCTTCAGCCAGGGACTGGATGGGACTCTGCATCCACAAAGACATCCTAACTTCATTCGAGTTTAATTTCTTTCCATCCCACAGAGCTTTCATCTCATCAGTCCTTCAGTGGCATGATAGTAGGTGATTGCTGCAGGATTATGTACAGGATTATATACATACCACACACATGAATCTGTAGTTTACAGTTCCATCTTTTACCCTCCAGAGCCTAAACAAAGTAAACCCCAGGTTAACCTCCTGTCTGTCAGAGCCGCCACTTCGTGATGGTCCTGGGACAGACATGCAGCCTTCCTCTTCAGGAGGTCACAATGTGCACGTTACACATGGGCCCGGAAGAGGCTTGTGCAGCTCCTGGTGTTGCATACTTTTCCCTGCAAGTGAAGCAGAGCTGATTCTATGGGGCTGGGGCTGGCGCTCTTCGTTGCGGCGATTGTGCATGCTTTGTTTGGGGCCTTTTGTTATCTGTCCCTGCCTGGAAGTCATTCATTCCCTCCCTCAGTTCCTCTACCTGCTTCCATTTCAAATATTTAACAGGGGCTGGGGATTTAGCTCAGCGATGCTGCCACCTGCCTTGTAAGCCCAAGATCCTGAGTTTAATCCCCAGTACCAAAAAA